GCATTATAGCTATTTTGAGAATCCTCAGAACCCTTTGCTTTGTCAATCAAATCCTTTGTGAGCTGGAGTGGTGGGAAATCTTATTATCAAATAAAAGGTTCCCCCTTCTATACCAAATCCTAACAGCAGGCCCTTAATCTAGAATAACTCCAAATGACTAAATTACCCTTCTCTGGTGTTATATGAATGTTAAGCCAATTGTTATAATATTTGAAATTGGGAAAGATGTCATTAGTGGCTTAGGAAATTAGGCCAACTGGCAAACAAGCTACATAAAGTGTATTGACTTCCCTGATATACTGGGTATACTTTTCTCTTCATGGTGTAGGCAGGAAGAATAGAGGTCTTTCCTACCTTGAAAGAAAAGGCTAATATTAGTGCCTTGTACATTAATACTGGTGGCGCGCTGGTGGCGCTGTGGTCTAAACCACTGAGCCTCTTAGGCTTGCTGATCGGAAGGTCGGTGGTTCGAATCCCCATGACGGAGTGAGCTCCTGTTGCTGTGTCCCAAATCCTGACAACGTAGCAGTTCAAAAGCACGCCAATGCAAGTAGATCAATAGGTACTGCTGCAGCAGGAAGGTAAATGGTGTGTCTGTGCATTCTGGTTTCCGTCATGGTGTTTTGTTGCACCAGAATCAGTTTAGTTATGCTGGCCACATGACCCGGAAAGCTGTCTGTGGACAAACGTCGGCTCCCTTGGTCTGAAGCGAGATGAGCGCCGCACCCCATAGTCACCTTTGACTAGACTTAACCGTGCGGGGGTCCTTTAAAGGTAAAGGGACTCCTGACCATTAGGTCCAGCCGTGGCCAACTCTGGGGCTGTGGCTCTCATCTCGCTTTATTGGCCGAGGGAGCCGGCGTACAGCTTCCGGGTCATGTGGCCAGCATGACTAAACCGCTTTCTGGCAAACCAGAGCAGTGCATGGAAACACCGTTTACCTTCTCGCCGGAGCAGTACCTATTTATCTACTTGCACTTTGACGTGCTTTTGAACTGCTAGGTTGGCAGGAGCAGGGACCGAGCAACTGGAGCTCACCCTGTCACGGGGATTCGAACCGCCGACTTCTGATCGGCAAGTCCTAGGCTCTGTGGTTTAACCCACAGTGCCACCTGCGTCCCTCTTTTTTAAATAGTAGTAGTAGTAATAATAATAGACAGCCTTTGGCTTTGTTATTAGGGTATATTTTTAAGAACAAAAAGACCATTGAGGCATAAGTGTGCATGGACTAGAACCCACACTGTCAGATACAAGAAGTCACTTTCCTTTGTCTGCTGTCACAGACACCATACAAAGCATTTGCTCACAACATATACACTCCACAACCCCCCTTTTATCCATGTACACAACTGCCAACAACAGATACCATTTCATCATTCCCGAGAAGTGGATGCTAGTTCAAGAAGGTCAGTTGCCACCACAATAATTGCCGCAAGTCTCTTTGTTGTCTTTACCAAGACAGACCCACAGGCATCGCTTTCCTTTTTTTAAAAAAGAAACACAGTATAGTACGTCCACAAGATGGCGCCTGAGACACAGACGTTTTAAAAACGTAGATCAGTTTCTTTGGGTTATGGTTAATGGCCAAATAAACCATGTGTGTCCTGGATTTCAGACTAACAAAGTAGAAATGGGTATGTGTGGTGGTCACATTCTGCCAAAAGATGCATCATTCATTGCGCTACAATGAAAATGGCATTTATGTAGTTGGCAAGGTAGCCCTCTTCCCTTTCAAATCATGCTACAAAGAAGGTACACACGCACACAGAGCATTCTCCAATTGCAGCCAGATACACACACACACAATTTTTCTGTTTCAGAATTTAGAATATTCCTTTAAACAACCTTAAAATATCAATGATTTCTCTTCTCTTTCAAAAGTTCATTTTGTGAAGCATAAATCCCTGCATATTTTATATAAACTAAACCACTGAGTATTACTACTTCCATCAAATCTTGTTTACACTGTTGAATTTATCTTAATGCTGCCAACGTTTTCAAGTGTACACAATTCCCCCCATATATTCAATGAACATTTTCCAATCTTCTTTAAACGATTGTTCTTCTTGTTCTCTTATTCTATAAGTTAGATCTGCAAGCTGCGCATATTCCATCAGTTTAAGTTGCCATTCTTCTTTGGTTGGGACTTCGCTTGTTTTCCATTTGGGGGCTAACAAAACACAGCAGCAGAGAGAGAAAGTCCTTCTCTGTGTCATTTATCAAAGAGGCATGAATATGTAATCATAATTATACGCCTAGCCTTCAACATTTCATTTCTGAATACCCTGATTTATACCCATTTTCATGCAAGGTATCACAGCAACCACCATCATCAACCTTGCTCAAGGACCTGCTCCAGACAGCTGTATGCTGTACTCTTGTTTGACTCTGCAATAACTGTCATGCAACTGGTTTGAAAGCAAAGAGTATGCTTGTTTATTTTGGGGTTAAATATTTAGGAGAAAGGGACGCGGGTGGTGCTGTGGGTTAAACCACAGAGCCTAGGACTTGCTGATCAGAAAGTCGGCAGTTCGAATCCCCACGACAGGGTGAGCTCCCGTTGCTCGGTCCCAGCTCCTGCCAACCTAGCAGTTCGAAAGCACGTCAAAGTGCAAGTAGATAAATAGGTACCACTCTGGCAGGAAGGTAAACGGCGTTTCCGTGCGCTGCTCTGGTTCTCCAGAAGCGGCTTAGTCATGCTGGCCACATGACCCAGAAGCTGTACGCCAGCTCCCTCGGCCAATAAAGCGAGATGAGCGCCGCAACCCCAGAGTCGGTCACAACTGGACCTAATGGTCAGGGGTCCCCTTTACCCTTATTTAGGAGAAAAACACAGTCTCTAGCATTTATAGAACCTGAGATATGAAGCAAAATGTTCATGTGCCATTCTTCTCTCGCGCTTTGGTGAGAAACAACTTACATCTGTCAGGAACGACACCTGGCACTGTGTTTCAAACAAAGATGTGCTTTCCAAAGTCTATATTCCCAACATGTTTGAACTCCTGTCTCAGCGATATCTATGTTTGCTTGGTCATGTCTACAGAATGGAAGGTGTCAGGATCCCCAAGGGTGTGCTATACAAGAAGCAGACTTCAGGCACGGGCCTGTTGGTAGACCAACTCTGAGTTAACAGAGACCTAAAGGTTGGTAACATCAACCCAAGGAGGTTTGCCTGGCTCCTTCATTATATACCTTTAGGTGCCAGTCAAAAACACATTCTTCTTTAACCAGGCCTTTGGTTGTCTGAAATTCAATGCCCTTTTAAAATAGGGATGCAGGTGGTACTGTGGTCTAAACCTCTTGTGCTTGTCAGTCAGAAGGTCAGCAATTCGAATCCCCATGACGGGGTGAGCTCCCGTTTCTCTGTTCCAGCTTCTGCCAACCTAGCAGTTAAAAAGCACACCAGTGCAAGTAGATAAATAGGTACAGTTGCAGTGGGAAGATAAACGGCGTTTCCAGGCCTCTGACTTCTGTCCCGTTGCGCCAGAAGCAGTTTAGTCATGCTGGACACATGACCCGGAAAGCTGTCTGTGGACAAACGCCGGCTGCCTTAGCCTGAAAGCGAGATGAGTGCCGCAACCCCATAGTTGCCTTTGACAGGACGTAACCGTCTAGGGTTCCTTTACCTTTTACCTACCTTTTAAAATGGTGGAGGGGGGGTTGCATTAATGGGTTGTTCTTGTTTTTATTTTGATTAAGTGTTTTGTGTTTTATTTTGTATTTTTATCCTGAGGCCTGCGGGTATCGGGCGGTATGCAAATTTAATAAATAATAATAACCCTGCAGTGTGGGAATCCCTTGCAGATGGCCGCAGAGCCTGGAGACAGTCAGGTTCTGCATCCACAGCAGCGACCAGAGGAGGAATGACAGCTGGGAGAAGCCCGGAAAACAGTTAACGCCATGGTACACTTGCATCCTGCCCACCTAGCAGTTCGAAAGCACGTCAAAGTGCAAGTAGATGAATAGGCACTGCTCCGGTGGGAAGGTAAATGGCGTTTCTGTGTGCTGCTCTGGTTTGCCAGAAGCGGCTTAGTCATGCTGGCCACATGACCTGGAAGCTGTCTGTGGACAAACGCTGGCTCCCTTGGCCTGTAAAGTGAGATGGACCTAACAGTCAGGGGTACCTTTACCTTTAGCTTACACTTGCATCAGCACAACCAGACGCCTTCATCTGCCCCAGCTGCAACAAAACATTTCTCTCCCCTGTTGGTCTTTTCAGCCACAGCAGGTGCTGTAACTCTGTACTGATTTGATTTCATCCCAGAAGGTGTACTTTCCTATGGTCTCCCAAGACAGACAGATGCTAACCCACCTGCTTGCTCCACACTTTCTGTGTTTACTCAAATCATGCAGTTGCCCATAAAACTACCTTGACCCCCTCACTCCCAAAATATTGCCAAATTTGACACAAATACAATGCATGTTCAAAGATGAAGCACCAGTGACTATACTGATGGTGGCAATTTATTATGTCCAGCATGTGAGGTCCATGCCACTGAATACCACTTTCTGAGAAACTTAAGTGGGGAAGAGTGAGGTCTTGCTTCTGGGCATCTTGTAGGCATCTGATTGGCCATTATGAGAATGGGTCTATCGTCGGTACTTCACTCCCACCAAACTGGCAAAAATGTATAGGACAAGTAGTAAAACTTGTTGGAAATGCAAGGAAAAGGACGGAGACTTCTATCATATGTGGTGGTCATGCAATAAAATAAAAGAGTTTTGGGAATTGGTTTATAATGAGTTTAAAAAGATGTTTAAGTATAGTTTTCCCAAAAAGCTGGAAGAATTTTTGCTAGGCTTGGTGGGAGAAGATATTAAGAAGATAGACCAAAGACTGTATCTGTATGCAACAACAGCAGCTAGAGTTTTGATAGCCCAAAAGTGGAAGTTACAGGAGATGCCAACGATAAGAGAATGGCAGATAAAGCTGGCTGAATACGCTGAAATGGCTAAATTGACACACAGAATTCGCAATCAGGAGGAGACAAAGTACCACAAAGAATGGAGTAAATTTATGGTTTATATAAGTGAGAACTGTACAAATATGAAAATGTTGGCAGGATTGAAGTAAATCTCATGTCATGGCGTAATTTTTAATTAAAGAAACTGTGAATTATAGACTGGAAAACTGGTGGAAGGGAAGGATGGAAGTCAATGGCTCTATGGAGCATAAAGCAGGATATATGTAATAAGATGTGATGTTTTTGTTGGTTGGTGTTGGTGTTTTGAAACTTCAATAAAAATCATTTTTTAAAAAAGAGAGAGAATGGGACGCTGAATCAAATGGACCTTTCAGTCTGACCCAGCAGGACTCTGGTGAAAGGTTGGTCTGTCACTGAATCTTGATGTTCTCCAAAGTGCTAAAAATAAAATCCAAGGCTTTTCTTCATCATCTGAAATGATCCACTGAGGTTTGAAACCGAATTCTTTCCAGGATTGCAAAGCGATCTTTGACAGGCATCCAAAAAGCATGGCTGCTAAATAATGAATAGCACAAAAAGCGGCTAAGTGCTGACATGACAAAATGCCTCCCTTCTCGTAGTCTCCTTCTTTCTCCTTGAAACATCTAGATACCACCTCGTCATACACTCGAGGCAGCTCATGACAATAATTAAAATTGCAACACAGCCACAAAACTATATGGACACATTTAAGTAACTTAAGCATGCAAAACCGTCCAACCTCAGCCATATCCATGCAGGTAAAATTGTTGGCGTCTCTTCGCACAAATCAGATTTAGAAAATGCATTACAGGCTCTTAATGAAATCAGCGTATTGCCTTTCCATCCACATCTAATTCATAAAGCTTTGTCATTGGGCTAAGCCTGTGATTTATTGCAGCGTATAGGGTTTTTCCTTTTTTCTGAAAACAGGAGTCGACATATCCTTTCCCTGACCCTCATATTTTTAAACCTACCAAATAATTAAGGTTTCTTTTGCATATCTGAAGAGGTGAAGAGGTTTCCAAGGTGTTGTTCATCCACGTGAAATCCATTACAAGTCTAATTTCTGTCCAATTCAGATTGACTCTTGAATTAATGTCACATTAAGCCTAGAGGTATGTGCAAGCATGGTTAGAAAAGAAGCTGTAATCAATTGTATACTGCAGAAACAACATTAATATTCACTTACAATCATGTTCATGTTGCCCAGCAATTGTGTGCTACGTAAAAAGCAACTCAGCCAAATATGGTAGCACATAAATGGTCCATTTATGTTGTAAATCTAGTCTCTGTTTCTCCCTTTGGAATTGGAATTACGGAGGGATGAACCTTGTCAATTTCAGTTTCTCTCTGTCTGCCATTTTGCTGATAGAAAATTCAGTTCGTCACCAGTTTGCATTTCCTTAAAAAAATGTCCTCATGTAAATTCATCAGCACATTTCTCTCAGGAGACACCATTTTGTGTGGCATTCAAACTAATATCGGCATTTTGGCAAGCAATTCCCCCTGTATGCATTTGATATTTTATTTTCACAGCTGCATTTTTATGTACGCCTTCCCCCAACATGCACATCTTCATACACAAATTATTTCACTGTGGGACAGCATCACAACATTTGGAGAAGTGTGAATTTCGACCGAGGTTAAATGGACGCAATTCAAATCATCTTTGGACTAGACCTGGAGTGGAGGAGAGAGGAATTTGGCAAGATGAAGGACTGCTAATTACATCTGGCAGGAGTTTATATATGTGACTTTGTTTTTTAACTGCGGACTGAGGAAAATAATCCTCAGAATTTTAATGGCAGACATAAATGGCGGAGCAGGCATCTTGTCAGGAAGTTATTTATAGCCCAGCAACTCCTTGAACAACTGAAGGAATGTTTTCAAAGGAGTGGAGTGTGAATGGACAAAGGACGGTGGCAATAAATTATCTCTACACTCCAGGTTTGGGAACAGAGTGCTGGAAGGACTACACGCATGAAATGGATATCTATATGTTTGCGAAACAACAAAGGTGCTGATTGCAAGGGAACAAGAAAGGTCAGCTTTGAAAATGGATTAAAATTAACAGACGGATGAGAAGGTGATTAAAGAAGAAGAATGAAGTGGCAACATCAGGAAGCAACGGACATATGATTGTAACAGGAGCGGGAAGCTATTTTTTTTTTTTAAAGTTGTATTAAATCTTAATAATTTGGATCAATTTGTTATAATTTGGAAAACTAATAAAATTAATATATATAAATATAAAAGAATTTCAAAGGAGAACTGCATTTTGTTTTGGGAATTGTAGGTGAACATGCAAATTGCGGCAATTTTCTCGTCATCCCTATTTGCAATGGATGGTTTCCACACATTCAAATTCTGCATCTGCACATCACAAGCTGAGCAAGCTCCACCAGTCTCTCTGTGTTACAGGCCTAGTCAGCTTCACCCGTCACTCTTGAGATTTTGAGAGGGTTGTAAGAATCTGGGGACTTCTGTTCTTCAGGCGTGAGAACACAGTGGTCACTGGAGTCCAAAGGAGGCCAATGATGACAGCTGCAAAAAAATTATAATAGTATTCAAAATGGATGGTTCAAAGGCGGTGCCCAGACCAAGCACTCTTTGTCATCTTCCCTTCAATTCTTTTCACTCAGTCCCAGAGCAAATCTTGTCGTTTCCCCCCACACAAATGTACACAGTCGCCTCAGGCAACCTCTCTTCCTCAGACATGGGCATGCAATTTTCACTGGAAGCCAAATGAGGGCAATAAAGAAAGCTGCAAAAGAGAGAGAAAAAAGAAAACATACATCTGCTCTAAGGTAATGCCCTGGTTAGCGTTGTGTGTCACCTCAGTCATTTCCCTCACTGTCCCGGACAGCAAATAATGTCATATTCCCCATACATCTCAACACCTGGCCCAATTTTGGGCGGCTGGGAGTAGGGAATGGTGGGAAGGAAAACTGGCAAAAGGCTTCATAAGACAGCTAGGTTTACTGTAGGCTAAAATAACTTGGCCAAAGAGGTGAGTATTCAGCAGAAAGAGAGAAATGGGGAAAGACTCCATTCACGAAGGAGGGTGTGTTGGACAATGTCAGACAAACCAAGCCTGAGTCAATAAATGGCTACAAGATTTTGGCCATATATGCCCCATACATTTGAAGCACTATGAATGCTTTTTTCTGGGGGTACGCATACCCCTAAACATTTTGTGAATCTAAGTTTGACCTCATTGAGGGGCAGTATTTCAATAAAGGTAAAGGGACCCTTGACCATTAGGTCCAGTCGTGGCCGACTCTGGGGTTGCGGCGCTCATCTCGCTTTATTGGCCGAGGGAGCCGGCGTACAGCTTCCATGTCATGTGGCCAGCATGACAAAGCCGCTTCTGGTGAACCAGAGCAGCGCACGGAAACACCATTTACCTTCCCGCCGGAGCAGTACCTATTTATCTACTTGCACTTTGACATGCTTTTGAACTGCTAGGTTGGCAGGAGCAGGGACTGAGCAACGGGAGCTCACCCCGTCACGGGGATTCGAACCGCCGACCTTCTGATTGCCAAGTCCTAGGCTCTGTGGTTTAACCCACAGCGCATATGAGTAGGAAATTGAGAGTAGCCCTAAACATATTTTTTTTAAAGAAAAAAAGCACTGACTATGATAACACTTTAAACAGCCATGGCTTCCCCCAGGAAATTATGAGAGCTGAGGTTTGTTAAGGGTGCTGAGAGTTATTAGGAAGAACAAATTCCCCTCACAGAGCTACAGTTCGCATCATAGGAGCCAATTCCTATCAGCCGAAGGGTCTTTGGCTACCCCAAGAAAATATTTGAGGGGGCCAGCCCCCCTCCAAACTCAATGGGCATTGCTATTCAAATGGTGTGTGTGCACCATGTCATGTGATCGATTATGCAGGGTGGGGCTTACCTGCCCCCACCCCAATATTTTATTCAAATTGGCACCCCTGGTTCCCAGAGTTCCCCATGAAGAGCAATTGATCGTTAAACCACTCTGAAAATTGTAACTCCCAAGGGAGCAAAAAAGACTACAGTGGTACTTCGGGTTACATACGCTTCAGGTTACATACGCTTCTGGTTACAGACTCCACTAACCCAGAAATAGTGCTTCAGGTTAAGAACTTTGCTTCAGGATGAGAACAGAAATCGTGCTCCGGCGGCGCGGTGGCAGTGGGAGGCCCCATTAGCTAAAGTGGTGCTCAGGTTAAGAACAGTTTCAGGTTAAGAACAGAGCTCCGGAACAAATTAAGTACTTAACCCAAGGTACCACTGTATTTATGTATGCCACTACGGCTGCACGATTGCTACTAGCCCAGAGATGGAAAAAATATAAAGTCCTGACCAGAGAAGAACGGCAGATCAAGTTGATGGACTATGCCGAAATGGCACAAATGACTGGAAGACTCAGAAATCAGGAAGACCAAAATTTTAATAAGGAATCAGGAAAATTTATCATCTTTCTTAAAAACCAGTCTAAGCAGCTAAAATTGTTAGTGGGGTTGGAATAACACTTGTAGTTTAATGGTGAATTTTGGACCTAATGGAGATGTAAAAGATTTGGATTAGTATGAAAGATGCAAGAGGAAAGGACTAACAATAGGACCCACAAAGAGGAGGAGGGAAGTCCAGGAGATTCTTTGGAATCTTGTTTTTATGTTGGATATGTGATTGTAAAATTTTAATTCAAAAAAAACCAAATAAATAAATTTGGGAGAGAGAGAGAGAGAGAGAGAGAGAGAGAGAGAGAGAGAGAATTGTAACTCCACGGGGAAATGGGAGTCTCCTAACAACTCTCCGTATTCTCGGAAGTGATTTGGAAGCACAACTTTTTTCCAACTGAAACTTGATGGTCCTGGCACCTCTCAGGTGGTTGCCATTGCCATTCTAGGAGAACAAGGGAGGTGTTCATGGTGAGTTCCGGCACCTCTTTTTCTACAAAAATTTGGACTGCTTGGAAGTGAGTACCATTTGATCTGGTGTTTTGGGAGTGAGGCATGCAAAGGATTGAGTTGCAACCATTTGGAGGAGCAAAATGTCTACTCAAATGAGCCCCTGTATATCCCGCCACGTTTTGTAAGGCTGAACCTTAATTCTCCTCTTACCAGGTGTCAAAATACCATTCTTCTGCTTATATTGATTTCGTGTCTCTGCCTTCTCTTCCTGGAACGCGACAGCAGGATTCTTCAGCACTCCAGGCATTCCTGCCAAATTTAAAATATTATGTTATGATATAGTTTAAAAGTTTGCATAATCAATAACTCATTCCCTTCTGGGTACAGACTTCAAACTGTTCCTCTGCTGGTGGTGGGACTTTAAATGGTAATATGTAGGTACTTCATTTACTATAAAAGATGCTAAGTCAGCCTGGTACATTTGGGAACCTTGTGCTTATTTTACTGAGTTTGGGGGCAAGTCCAAGTCCTGATGGAATCGCTCCCAGATTTCATGCTTAACTTTATAAATACAATTTTTATTAAATTTTCTGTTTTACAATTTAAAGAACTCATTTTTACATTAGTGACTTTCCATAGTTCATTTTACATATCCCTGCATATTTTACACAAACTATACCATACAGTTTTCCATTATTACATCCATCAAAACTTTATTTACACTGTTCAATTTATCTGAATGCTGACTTTGTTTTCAGCTATACACAGTTATTTCCCATATATTCAAGAAACGTTTTCCAATCTTCTCTAAACGTATGTTCTTCTTGCTCTCTTATTCTATATGTTAAGTCTGCAAGCTGTGTATATTCTGTCAACTTAAGTTGCCATTCTTCTTTGGTTGGGACCTCAGATTTCATTCTTAACTTTAATATGATGGTTCTTATTTGCCCCGTGAAGAAGGAACAGTGGCTGCATAGAATTGGCTGTGTTTGTTTCCCTTTATTTATTGTGTTTGCTGTTTGAACGGTTCTTCATTATCCCCCTGTTTAACTTAATCCATCTGGTTACTTCCTCAGAGGCCTGACTTGCAGCTCATATTTACCCACTTTTACACTACAGTAAGTCTCCTTGTGCTTGTTGGTCCTTACTCCCAGGTGAGCATTCATGGGGTTGTAGGTATAAGAGTTCATTCATCAACCTGGTGTATGGCAAACAGTACAAAATGTTTTCGGTGGTTTGGTAAACAGTTTAAACACCTCTGCTGTAGAAATTGTCTTGAGCCTTTCAAGTGGCGGTGGAAAAAATAAGCTTAGGAAGTAAGCTCCGGGATCAGTGCTTTTGGTTCATGTACCTGAAACTAAAATCTTCCTCTGGTGAGACATTTTATATCAGCATTCACCAACCTGGTGCCCTCCAGATGTTTTGAACACAGCTCCCACTAGCCCCAGCCAAGCATAAAGGTAAAGATGAAGGATCCCTAGACAGAAGTCCAGTCAAAGGTGACTATGGGGTTGCGGTGCTCATCTCGCTTTCAGGCTGAGGTAGACGGCATTTGTCCGCAGGCAGCTTTCCGGGTCATGTGGTCAGCATGACAAAACTGCTTCTGGCACAACGGAACACCGTGACAGAAACCAGAGTGCATGGAAACACTGTTTACCTTCCCACCACAGTGGTACCTATTTATCTACTTGCACTGGTGTGATTTCGAACTGCTAGGTTGGCAGAAGCTGGGACAGAGCAATGAGAGCTCACTCTGTTGTGGGGATTTGAACTGCCGACCTTCTGATTGGCAAGCTCAAGAGGCTCAGTGGTTTGGACCACAGCACCACCTGCATCCCATAAACACCCGGTATGGTATAAGCCCCATTCAGGGTTAACAAGAGTTAGCTTAAAAACATTTTTTTTTTTAAAAAAATAGTCTACTAGATCACAGAATCATAGAATTGTAGAGTCCTGCAGGAACAAGTTTCACTATATGTGTTCTGAGTCTCCCAACATTCAGATTCATGGGATGTCCACACATTCTAGCGATGAAGGATAGGAAAGCGTATCTTCCCACATGCACTGGGTCTAGTTCAGACCTTTATAGTTCCCAGGTTCAGCATGAAGGAGGAGTCAATGTGTGCTGAAAATGCCAGATCCCCAAACAGACAGGAGCTGACTGTTGTGAAAGAAAGGCATTCCTGTTTACTGTCTGGGGCAGAGGAAACCTATCAGTTGCAGCGAATCCATGAAACTGGAGGGTTGATCTTAAGGATGGTCTGGCAGCACACAATGTGAGAACCTTGCTGAAGTTGAGCTGGTTTGGGTCTGGTTGGTACATGGATGGGAGACTGGCCTGGCACGCCCCCTTGAGTTCTTTCTTAGAAGAAATACCTGCATAACTTCAGAATAAAACAGTTTTCAGGGTCTCCCGTGAACTTCTAAAGTGGTAGCCCGGACTTCACACTAGCAAACCTTTTCTGAAATGAAGTGCTTAAAAACCCCTTCACCTCCTATTCTGCGACATAGGAATGCAGTGTCAAGATGGCTGCCTTCAATTATAAATAAATGCTTCTGTTTCAACAGGGCAGGGTATGGGAAAATGTGGTTCTCTAGATGTTGCTGAGCTGTAATCATCTCTGCTCGCCAACCACGCTTGCTGGGCCTGAAAAGCGCTTGGAGACTGACAAGATAGGAGAGCCACATGTTCCCCATCTCTGCTATAGAAGTTTGGATTTCTAAAAAGTTGCTGGGAGGGCCTGTGCTTTCGAGGAGGCAACAATACTAGTGCAGCAACTTCACATCTTCTTAGATTGAGCACTGCAATTAATAACCGGTTCTAGGGCAGAGGTTTATAATTAAAAGCCGGGTTGGAGCATCAGGCTGCAATTAAAAAATCCACACTATCTGAGCAGCGTTTGTAATTGTCTTAAGTGTACGGAGACAAAGCAGTCACATCTCGGTTGCTATGCCCCCCCCTCCCCCAGCTTCTGTTAGGTTGACGTGTCAGGTGTGACAAAAGCTGCATCCCAGATTTTAGATACAGAGAATAGCTCTCCCACACCTGTTGGAAGGGATGCTTTTGCAACTTGGTCTGTTTCATATCTAGCTTCCAGGCAGGACGGCAACCGATACTTTATTTCATAAAAGATTTCTAAACTGCTGCCCTCACAAGCACAATGCCCTAGAGAAGCAACAACATGCAATATAAAACCATCAAATTAAACCTGCGTTATACTCCCCTTAAAAATGAGCAGCATAACTGTTATCACATGGGACAGCAATTTACAAAAGGCGGATTCAGCTAAAAAAAAGGCCTTAAGGTTTCTTTTGCAAAAAGCAACAGTGATGGAGCCAGGCATGGGAGGAAATTCAGAGCCACCCCAGAAAAATTCCTGTCTCTTGGTATCTGTCAAGCTGCCATCTGTTATCAACAGTTCAGCATTAGAAGCTGATCTTAAAGTCCAGGCAGTCTCGTTGAGTCTCATTCAGAAGGATTGAGTGAGTGGTGACTGGAGGAACAATTCCTGAATTAGGGACGTGGGCCAGGGGTGGGGAAAACCATGGACCTCAAGGTATTCCTTGACTACAAGTCCCATCATTGGCATGCTTGCTAGGGCTGATGGGAGTTGGAGGCATCAGGTTCCCCATCCCTGAAGTAAGCTATCATGAAGTAGGAATACTTGAGACTGAGAGGTGACTTTTTCCTGAGTGGGTGACTTCAGAGGAACTGGAGCAAAAAAAGAGCACTCTAGGTATTTAGGTCTGGAAGAGTGAGCAAGAGGGATAATGGCATCTAGAAGAAGCAGAACAGTTCTAGGTTTTGGGAAGAACTCCAACCCATAAGGAATGCATTCTCTTCGTCTTCTTTTTCTCTTCGTCTTCGTCTTCTCTTCGTCTTCTTTTCTGTTGCCACCATGTGTTCATTGGCCTCTGCAGCTGTGCCCACTCTGGACCACCTCCGAGAGTAAGAGACAGAGAGGCAAGTGGTGTGAAAAGGACTTCTCTTTCCCCTGCTTCCTTGCTCAGAGAAGGTAGGCCAGGGGAAGCCAATCCTCAAGATTTTGTTGGACTACAACTACCAGCATGGCCAATGGCCAGGGAAGATGGGAGTAGGAGTCCCATAGCATCTGATGGGCACAAGGTTGGGTATTCATGGGGCAAGTGAACAGGCAGCCACAGAAAAGAAGGGGAGAATCAGGGGCAGGAGACTCCAGGAATTGTCAGTGGGTACCTTCTACTAGGGCACCAGCCTCAACAGGTACCAAATGATGCTGACCCCCAAGTCCAGTTCTGGAAATGGCTATTTACAAATACAAGAGTACGCTTCCCTTCTGATACTACCAAATTCACATAGAAGAGGGGAAGTGAGCTGGGGACTCTAAGAGTGGATTCTTCTTCTTTGGCAATCACTCGTAGCCGAGTAAGATTGTCTTCCATAAACACGGTTTTAACAATGAGCCCGTAAGTGACTGTGGAGGGCAATTCTGGATCCACACGTCCTTCCACAGTAGGGTCATTGGTTTCCAGACGGGAGTTGACCATGGTGTGGATTTGCCAAGTGTGCCTTCCTTTTAGCACGTTTCTTCCTTGTGTCCTGAGTTCAACCCTTGTCCCTTGTGTCCTGTCTTCAAAACCCATGACACCTTTGGTCAAGGCTGTTCTCCAACTGGAGCTCTCGCAGGCCAGTGTTTCCCAGTTGTCAGTGTTTATGCTACATTTTTTTAGATTTGCCTTGAGACAGTCTTTAAACCTCTTTTGTTGACCACCAGCATTACACTTTCCATTTTTAAGTTCAGAATAGAGTAGTTGCTTTGGAAGATGATAATCAGGCATCCACACAACATGACCAGTCCAACGAAGTTGATGTTGAAGAATCATTGCTTCAACACTTTGCTTCTTCCAGTACACTGATATTAGTTCGCCTGTCTTCCCAGATGATGTGTAAAATTTTTGGAGACACTGTTGATGGAATCTTTCCAGGAGTTGGAGATAGGTTGTTTGTGGCACCATTGACTGTGGGGTAAATATTAAAGTGATGCCTTGATAGGGTTGTCCAAGTCAGCAGAGGGCAGGATTCTTGTGCCTGTTGTCATTTGGTGCTGCTGTGGCAAGAGAAGATGCATTGACCCAACTATGAAAATGGCAGGAATCATGTCCCATCTTGGATCAGTTCCAGAATCCCTACATGTTGTTGTTGTTGTTTAGTCATTTAGTTGTGTCCGACTCTCCGTGACCCCATGGACCAGAGCACACCAGGCACTCCTGTCTTCCACTGCCTTCGCAGTTTGGTCAAACTCATGATGGTAGCTTCGAGAACACTATCC